AGAGAGAGAGAGAGAGAGAGAGTTAATGAGTGTTGTCATACTTATAATTTAACTATGTGGTATGTAAGGTTCATTACAATAAGCATTGCCCATGGATAATTTGAATCTTTGTTCCGCCCTTGGCCGTCATCTTCCTTTCTATGATTGTTCCATGGATGCATAGGATTCAAGGGATCTCTATATCAATTTAGCAAACTTCTTGCCCCTCAGCGCCGTCGACCGTAGCTCTACATCGATTAATTTTCTGTAATCTATACTTATATAACAAGTCATCCTATTTACTATATTTAGTAGTAAGAAAAGTCAACATTAATTAATGCATCCTATTTTTAGGTTAGTATTCTATTTACTTATTTTTTTTATTTGTTTTCTCCCATTACATCGGTTTAATCAAAAAATTCTCATAATATCTATTTTCTCAAAAAATTGTACATAAAATCCAAAAAAGTCATATTCTATCGGTGATAAAAGATTTGATCGGTCAAAGTTATATCTTTATTTTACATCACCCATAAATAAAGCAGATATCAAGCCTAAATTAAGGGTTTAGTTGTGTATTGATTTACGTACATACATCTAATTTTTAAAGTTGTATATATTCAAAATTCCTTCTTATCTTTTTATCACCGATTGTATCTAATTGTATGAAAATCTGTTCAGATTTGTTTCTTTAGATGTAATCCGATTTCCTTATAATGAGATTTTTTCATAAAAATATTAAACGCTATTGTATCTATCGATCGAATATAAATTACAAATCTCAAAATATTGAGTCATCGTTTTCGTCCCTGTCAAACTCTTGCGAACAAAAAAATATTTGACTTAATCAAACAAGTTAATAGGTCTAATAGGCCTATGCTGAAGGCTCGAATTGTAAGTTTCAAGACCGGGACAACACATACAAATCCTATCTTGGTTCTTCATGATAAAACTGTAAGCCAAATTATTTTTACTTCTTTTTTTCTAGTTTCGAACTATGAAATGTATATTTTCTACTTTTTTAATTTTATTTTTTAAATTTAAAATTTGACTTCTTTCTTTTTATCGTGTATGTATTCAGATATTTAAATTATTTATATTTTTTAAAAAAAAATTAATTTTTATTGATTACTTTTTTGTACATGTTTAGGGAAATCGCATTGCGGCATGGCTACGAGCAATCAACTTGGCTGCGTTTAGAGAGAGGAATTTTGAGGAGGGCATGATCATTTGTATCAAGAATTACCAAGTTGACATCAATCTATGAAAGTATCGTTCGACATCCGGTGATTTTAAGATCATGCTATACGGGAGCAATTATATGTTGTTGTTTCCCGTGTAACTAATAGAAGGGGTTGAAGATATTAGTTTGTGAGGATGACGAGTTGCCCAATAATCAAACTCATAATGTTGTGTGCAAGTAGGTCTTTCATAATATAAGATTGTTTCTTTTTCGAATACTACTTTTTGTACAATTTTCCTGCGTATTATAAAACTTTTATTGAATATTGCATCTTATAATATAATATTCCCCAAATGAAGGTAATTACCAGAAAATACAGAAATTATTCCTGCAATATTCAATAAGGAAACAGAAATTTGCAATATTACCTTATAATATC